CAACCCATGTGATACATATCATCATTATTATCTATTTTTGGTAATGAAAGTGCCAGGGAGCCTAATGAGAAGTAATGAAATCATCAAGGTGCTCAATGAAATATCCTAATGAAAGTGCCAAGAAGCCTAATGAAATATTCTAATGAGAATTCCATGAAATGGTAATGAAAGAGTCAAGGAGCTGAATGAAATATCCCAATGAAAATTCAATGAAAATCTAATGAAAGTGCCAAGGAGCCTAATGAAATATCCTACTGAGAACTGTAAGAAATGGTAATGAAAGGGTCAAGGAACATAATGAAATATTCTAATGAAAAAATTCAATGAAATGGTAATGAAAGGGTCAAGGAGCTGAATGAAATATCCCAATGAAAATTTTAAGAAATGGTAATGAAAGGGCCAAATACCTAATGAAATATCCTTATGAGAAATGGTAATGAAAAAGCGAAGGAGCCTAATGAAATATCCTAATGAAAATTCTAAGAAATGGCAATGAAAAAGCGAAGGTGTCTAATGAAATATCCTAATGAAAATTCTAAGAAATGGTAATGAAAAAGCGAAGGAGCATAATGAAATATTGTAATGAAAATTCTAAGGAATAGTAATGAAAAAGCGAAGGAGCATAATGAAATATCCTAATGAAAATTCTAAGAAATGGTAATGAAAAAGCGAAGGTGTCTAATGAAATATCCTAATGAAAATTCTAAGAAATAGTAATGAAAAAGCGAAGGAGCATAATGAAATATCCTAATGAAAATTCTAAGAAATGGTAATGAAAAAGCGAAGGAGCATAATGAAATATTGTAATGAAAATTCCAAGAAAGCGAAGGTGTCTAATGAAATATCCTAATGAAAATTCTAAGAAATGGTAATGAAAAAGTGAAGGAGCCTAATGAAATATCCTAATGAAAATTCTAAGAAATAGTAATGAAAAAGCGAAGGAGCATAATGAAATATCCTAATGAAAATTCTAAGAAATGGTAATGAAAAAGCGAAGGAGCATAATGAAATATTGTAATGAAAATTCTAAGAAAGCGAAGGTGTCTAATGAAATATCCTAATGAAAATTCTAAGAAATGGTAATGAAAAAGTGAAGGAGCCTAATGAAATATCCTAATGAAAATTCTAAGAAATAGTAATGAAAAAGCGAAGGAGCATAATGAAATATCCTAATGAAAATTCTAAGAAATAGTAATGAAAAAGCGAAGGAGCATAATGAAATATCCTAATGAAAATTCTAAGAAATGGTAATGAAAAAGCGAAGGTGTCTAATGAAATATCCTAATGAAAATTCTAAGAAATAGTAATGAAAAAGCGAAGGAGCCTAATGAAATATCCTAATGAAAAGTCTATGAAATGGCAATGAAAGGGCCAAAGAGCTTAATGAAATATCCTCATGATATCTCATTATCCTTGCCTATATCTTATGAAAGATTCTAGTGATAAATTGAATGAAATAGATGGGCAATCCTAATGAGATGCCTTTCATAAAACCTGTGGCAGTATACACATTGCCTCTTGGACAGTTGTCATAGATTAATCATAAATAGTGGTAGCCACTAGTGAACACCGAGGGCGTGACACATTTGACCTCCCTTGGGTGTATAGGACGTATTATACCACCCTTCAGCATTTCGTCAACCTTTGCCTCCATAAAGGCCTGTTGGTCTGGGTTGAACGAGCATTGTGGAATCTTTGTGCGGAATGATGTGTTCTCGGGTATGTCGAGCTTGTGCACTGCGCCTGGAATGAGATTGACCTCGCTGAGTGATAAGGCGAAGCAGTCAGCGAATTCAGCGATGAGTGACTTGACTTCCTCGCGTTGGTCTGCTGTGATGTCGTCACCTATCTGCACAAGCTCCAATATCTTCTCTACACGGGCTTGTAGGAAGGGCTCAGTCTGGCGTGTGAAGATCGTGTCTTCTGGCTGGACATCTGATGCATTGGCAACTGGTAACACAAGGCATGGCGTGTCAGCTGGGGTGGTCTTATGTTGATCAACTGGGAAGGTAGGTACTCCCCTCGAGGGGGGTTTGTCACTCCCCCCACTAAGATCTTCTCGCTCCACCTGTAACGGTTTTATGTGGCATATAGGGGCATTCTCGGCTGGCATGGCACTTTCTGAGGCTTTCATGGCGCTGTTAGGGACTGCAACAAGGAAATCGTCAGTTTCGCTCGCCCCTGCTGAAGCAGCACTTTGATATTGTACTTCCCTCGAGGGGGGTATGTTACCTCCCCCCTGGTCTGTACAACGCTCTGATCCCTGCTCATCCCGCTTCTGGTCTGTGGCTCGTACTCCTTCATGGCTCTCCTGTGGCCTTCAACCACTCTTCTTCTTCCTGCACTATACTTTCATCTTCGTTTATGATGTACCCACCTGTTACAGTTGACGTGTCATTAGTACCACCTAAAATGCAATCCAACTTGTTATTCTGAACTTCAACGTCTAAGACCTTGTGATGCAAAACTTGCCTCGGAGGGGGTTTCACGCCTGAAGAGCCCCCTACTGAGTTTTCCCGCTGTTCCACACTGAGTGTGAGGCTAACGCCTAAAGGAGTCTTCGGGGCACATTGGCTGACGCTGTTGCATAATACGACTGGTCCATGAGCAGCGCGAATGGTGACCGTGTCTGCATCAAAGTCATGCAACACCTTGAAGCAACGTAGTAGCGGTTTCCCGAATAAGAATTCCCAGCCGCCTCCACTATCGAAGATTTCAAACTCTGCCTTCACCCGAACTCCTCCCAATTCCAACATCCCAGTCCATACTGCGTGTGAGGGTATGATGGTGCCATTCGCCACACGCAAACGTCTGTTGGATGGTGTGGTTTGGCCTAGAAGTCTGTGCTGGACCTTCTTGAAGAACGATGTACACATAGTGCCCACCATCGCTCCTCCATCAAACACCGCCTTGACTCTAACTTTTTCGCCTTGTGGTCCATGCACGAGCAGCCAATGCACAAAGGGCATTTCTCCTTGTCTTAATGTATCCCATGTCTTATCTCCGTCCCCAACAGTGTACAAATCAATGACTGATGAATTATGGCACATGGTAGATACATCATTGAGACTGTTCTGACTGCTGGGGCGGTCGACCTCTGTAGGCCCTACTAAAGTCGGGGCCGCCCACTCAACTCCTATGCAGGCGGCCCTTCTCCATTTCCCGGGCTCGGCGTGGGTCTGAAGGCTTGATGGTTGAGCCAGCTGAATTCATCGTCTGCATCGCTGACGAAGTTGACTCGAGAGGTAGGCGCAGCTCGAAGAATGCGGCCACATATCGTGCGGAACATGCGCTCCTTGTTGTTGATTTGGTCAGTCGTGCAGCGCATGTCGATGCGGCGATGTCCTCCCCTTCCGCATCTGTAGCACTCCCCTGAACCAGGGGCCTCACCCCCTGGTTGTAGTGGAAACCCCGTGTTTACTGTAACCTCAGCAGTTTCGCCATTCTTCGCCTTCCATTCCCTGAGTTGGGTGTGCCACGCTGCGATGCCTGCTTCAGTGTTGGGTTGCATGGGGTAGAGGGCCAAGCTGCGGATTAACGCGCTTCAATCAGCTTCAGTGATTGGCGAGGGAGCTGGGCGGGGCAGGTTGCCTTGGCCACTTGACGGGCCCGTGTATGCATTCGTGTTGGTTGAATTGGATTGTGGCGTGTTGTTACGTTGACCTCCCAAGGTTGATGACTGCTGGGTTTGACTGATGTTTGATACTGAGGATGTGGGCGCAGCTGGGAGGCGACGTTGTCCCTGCAGGTGTAAGCGTTGTAGGCTTGCTATAGCCGCCTCCGTTTTCTCCTTCTCCTCCTTCTCCTTCTGGTACTTCTTCACCCCATCTCGTATATGAGCCATTTCTACCCCTTTGATCGCTGCACAAAATTCGGTCCAGGTTGGGTACGTTTCCTTGACCTTCTGGCGTATAATGTCGGGTAGCTCGTCTCTGACCTTCCAGATCGAATTCGACCCTGTGCTGATCTTGGCTTGTTTTGCGAGGCTGAGAGCCTTTTCTGCGAATATGACGTGGGTGTAGACTTCTTCGCCTGCGTATTTCTCCTTCTTCCCCAAATCCTCTGTCTTCAACCTTAATTCACACAACTCCCTCTCTAACTCGGTTTCCGTCCTTTTAGCCTTCTCGACGGGCGGAAAGCGTTGCAAAAACGCTGTTTCTACCTCTTTCCACGTCTGCTTCGTGCTGGTTAGCTCTGCGAACCAGTCGTCTGCAGGGGACCCGTACTTGAGGTGGTCTCCGAAGGATGTGATGATGAGGTCGTCGTCTGTGATGCGGGCGGACGTTGTGAAGTGGCGGAAGGTCTTCAGAAACTCGCCTGGCTGGACGTTGTCGTCTGTTTCGCCGCTGAAGCTGCGTAGGGTGACTGGGGCAGACATAATGGGTGGAAGGTCCTGCGGTGGTTTAACGGGGCTGAGCTGTGCGGTTTGTTGTGGGGCTCCTAGTTGAGGACTTGACGTTGATCCAAAGAGATCCTCGAACGGAGAGGCAGGCTCTAGTATGTCCGAAAGCATGAGCGAACTTTCAGTAGATGGCGTGGATGTACCCGAGGTTGTATTAGACGAGGGTGTAATGGTAGTGGCTCTGTCTCTAGCCATGAATCTGCCGTTGACTCTTGGCTGAGTTATCCAGGTATTGTTGGGTGCCAGCTTGCTTTATGGGTGCGGGGTACATGATGAGCTTGGTGAAACGTTGGAAACACGTTTGCGGCCGAGTTGATTTCAGAGATGAAAAGCCGTTAGACGCTGGACGTTGGACGTGGTGGTGTTGACGGTGTGACGTATGACGTGGGACGGTGGATTTAAGACGGTGATACGAGGATGGACGTTTTAAGACGAGAGATATGCGCGTGTAAAAGTATGAATCACGCACTTATCACCAGGTGGAATGGGCTCTAGTGCTTCCGACGATGCAGATGCCTGGTGGAATGATGATCTATTCGCCCTTCTGGTCCCTCTCTACACTACTGCATGACTAATCTAATGCTCACGTGCCTCCGCAGGGGGAATGCCCCATTCCCTATTCCAGTGGCGAGGGCTTTGAACAGTGGAAAGCTGACCTTGACAAATCTTGCCCACAAAGCACCGAAACAATTGGCATACACCAAACCTCACTGCATCCCTTACCAGCCATGGAAATTGACAAGAACACAATCACAGGAAATGTGGAGGTCATAGACACAATTTTTACCAAGCTTCATCTTGACCAGGGGCATGAAGATTTCACGAAGTACGTCGACTGGTGGCTACCACTTTTATGATAAAACTAAGGCAATTGCCTGCAGAGCTGTGTGTATAAGTCCACAAGTTTTATGAAAGGCATTTCATAGATGTGTCCTGTGTTTTCTTTCTTATAAAACCTATGTTCTTTTCATAAAATATAGGCAAGGCCACAGGGTGCTTTTCATAATTAAACCTGTGTGCTTTCAATAGGTATTTCATTCACTGGGTTAGGTGTATTCATTGCCTTTTTCATAATTAATGGTGTGCACTTTCATTGAATATTTCATTAGGAATTTTGGGTACTTTCATTGCTTTTTTCATAATCAATCCTGTGTGATTTCAATAAATATTTCATTCACTATGTTAGGTGTATTCATTGCCTCTATCATATTTAATGGTGTGCGCTTTCATTGAATATTTCATTAGGAATATTGGATGCTTTCATTGTACTTTTCATAATTAATGTTATGCAATTTCAATAAATATCTCATTCCCTAGGTCAGGTGTATTCATTGCCTCTTTCATATTTAATTGTGTGCGCTTTCATTGAATATTTCATTAGGAATATTGGATGCTTTCATTGTACTTTTCATAATTAATGTTGTGCAATTTCAATAAATATCTCATTCCCTAGGTCAGGTGTATTCATTGCCTCTTTCATATTAAATGCTGTGTGCTTTCATTGAATATTTCATTATCAATTCTGGGTGCTTTCATTGTGCATTTCAATAATATTACATTA